GGAGGCTTTGACTTAAAACACTTGATTACAATTACCACAACAAATTCCCTGCTGAGTATTGTTAAAACATACAGTCACACAAAAGCACCATATTTTACATGTGAAATACTGATTAGTCCTCAAATTGCAATGATGAAAAAGATCCATTCAGAGCCCTGCTGACAGTTCTCAAATAAAATAGGCCTTTTTAAAAAGATCAGGTATTATTTTCTAATATGGACTACCATTACTTTTTATATGCAAAAGAGCCTAACCACTAAACACAAAAAGAAAGAATCTCTGTCTACCTTTCACCTCTGACAGGAGGCATAATAGCACACTACAGTAGATATAATGTGTTTGAGATCACAAATTTTCTTGGCAATGTGAAAAGTAGAAAATAAACTAAATGTATCCATAAGGTACCAACATTGGCATTTACACCTGATACATTTGAATCTAAACTGCAAAAAAATGTAGTACATTATTCAAAATGTATTATCAAAGTCTGCTTGCAATATATTAGGAAATTATTATTTATTTTCTCTAAGAATATTGTTTGTAGACAAGGCACCATAAGATCAAAGATTTTTCACTTCGGGGTTCTTAAGAGTTTACACAACGCATCTTGACACATTTAAGCAGACTAGTGAAAGAAAAATGCCTTTTACATGTAAAGCATTTAATATTTGGGATGTTTATGTCATTAGACGTAAAAAAACTTGAAATAGTCAAATAACTTAGAGGAATTAATTTCCTTGCCAGATAATATAACAAACATATTTATCTACAGTAAAATTTAAAATCTGGAAAATACATATTTTATTTTAATAAAAGTATATTTTTTACATTATGCCAGTTTACATGTTAGTATAAATATTATGATTGGTGATGCATGTTTAATTAAATAAGGAAGGCAAAATGATATGCAGCTTTTTGCACGCATTCACGCAAAACAAACTGACTAGAAATCTTGCAAAACTGATACTTTCATAATTTGCACTACAGGCTAACTAAATGTCAAGGCCTTTATTACATAGGGTGCGCACGTATGCAAAATCTGGAGACAGGAAAAACGCTAGAAATGACAACTTCTGATCAAAGCACATACTTTTCATGACCAAATTACAGTTTTGCTCGGCTACAATAATAAACTAGCAGTGCTGCATGAATAACATTTGCTTTAACTCTATTACACTGAGTTACTAAATGGGCAGCCTCTTCAGTGTTACACGTCTCTTACTGCTGGTCTGCAACAACTTCAGGACTTTGCAGACAGTAAAGGGCAGTGTGTTATTCAATTGTGCTACATGCAGGCTTTCAAGATTTTTTAATCTAGTTACAAACGGTGCGTTGTGCATGCCCATTTCCAGCCCCTACTCCCCACCCACACACCCCTGAGCTACTAATATTATTTTTTCCTAAAAAAAAACTCAGATCGCACTGTTAATTGAATGGCCCAGTTCATTTTCAGTCGGTTCAGGTCAAGGTAATAAAACAATAATTCTGCTTTAGAAACTGGTAAAATGGTTGTTTTCCTGCACCAAACTGCATTTTGAAGCTGACCCCTGGAGTTTGCGGGGGCCAGTTATTCCAGACAACCATCTAAAAGTTGCCTTTAGCAGCTACTAAAATTGCAGAAGGGGGTCTTACAACAGGAAGCCCAGAGAGCTTGTAAAAATGCTGCTGGAGCCAGGAACACATAGCATATTTAATCTGCAAACGAAGAGAGTCTACAATGATTTCAGCAAGATCTGAGGCATGCCCTCAAGGTTTTACTGGGATCTGGGATTAGGGGATTGATAAGAAACCATGGTGCCCATAGACATGTTTTTCTTCTGCGGTTAAACACAAATGTGTTGAGACACTTGACTGCTGCTTGGTGTTACTTCTGAACTTTTATGAAAGCTATGGAGCTCTTTTTTTCACTGTCAATATATCAAAGTTAAAAATCATCAAAGTGTAAAATTTCATTTTAAGTCCTGGCCTGACTACAGCTCTATTTCAGGAGACTATTAAAAACAAAAACCTATAATAATAATACATGTCTTTAAGAGCGGGGTTTCAGAATTTGTATAAGTCATCCAACCTTTTTTTTTATCTAGCTAACAACTAATCCGTAACAAAATGTTAAAAAGCTACAATAAATATTAAGCAATGTAAATATCACTGAAATAGCCTGCCTGCTGCTGGTACAGAGGTAGTACATTTTCTTTCTTTGTTGCAGACAGTTAGGAAAGGTGTATAACTGCCAGAAAGCACAACCAGAGATACTGTACCTAGGGAAACCATTCACTTTGTTTTTCTCACCTTAAACAAAAAGGTACTTCATTTTACAATGCATTTTTTTTATTTGAGTTCTCCATTTCAATTAAATCTTCTTAGAAAATAAATGAGTCCAGAATTCTTGAGCATCGGTTTTAAATAGTAAGCTTTCTTATACACAGAGCTGTTGGCTAAAAAGCGCAGTTAAATATTCCAAAAGTAGTGATTTATTTCAGCTCCCTAAAGAAAAAAATAATAATCCAAAAGCACTCCCAATCTCTCAAAAAGGTTTTCCAAAGGATGTGAAAACCTTTCAGTTCACCCTTGCATCTTGGTACACAACAGCCCTGCATATCTAAATGCAAAAATAGATGGTTTTTAAGATAAAGTCCCAATTATTGTCACCTGATACTCAAAAATAAAAAATGCATCTTGTATGCCCTATAGATGAAATGAGTGTTTGTGTACTGGCCATTAACACCATATTTATAAAAAATAAAAAAATCTTAGATTGTTAGTTCATAAACTTTTTTTGTGCCATATATATTTTTCCTTTGTGGTGGTTTTCTGGGGAGGAGGTAAAAAATGCTATTGTTCCTTCTAACATTTTCAGCAACTGTTCTAAAAACGAGAATGATACATTAAATTGTTTTATTCCAACAAGCTTCTATTGGTCAAAAAACGATTATTCTAATTTAATTCAAAAATCATTTTTTCCATACACTGGATAAGCAACATATAAATATCAGCCCTTTTCCTTATATGATTTAAATAAGTACATAATATTTAATAATCAGATCAAAATTCCACTTCATGTGCTTCTTTTACACAATCATAATGTTGAAATCACCATTTTTATTAAATACTTGGTAAAAAATACATAATTAAATGTGGGAGCTTAACAGTCATTACCTACATTTTGATGGGTATTTAAATAATTTTACATGAATAAACTGGAGTGCTACTCACGGGACTTATATACACAGAAAACATTCTCGCACAATTAATATATTGCTCATGTCTTAAAAACAATTTAACCTTAAATATTAATATATATTCAAGATTATTTTAATTGTTATATATAATCATGACAAATAAGTCATCTTCCGAAAAATATTTTAGACTATTTTGTTCTTTGATCAAATTCATAATACACATTTTTTGGGTTGTTCGGTTTTTAAACAACAGATCTGCAATCGAAAAGTTTTAACATGGCTGTTGCTTTTAAGAGTAATTGTCCTGTGCCGCCATATGTAATGGAACTTTTAAAATTAGTAAATTATTCATAAAGTGACAGTTAATACTAATATCTGAATATGCACCTTTTAACTCGTACGATTTCTGCCCTTGATATAGAGAAGAAAATATAACTGGGCTATTAATTCTCAAAAAAGTCATATATTGGAATTTTAATTAAATGCAACTTTTGGGGCATGTTTAAAACTAACAAAAATTAACAAAGCCTCATTAAGCACTTATTTTGTTCGGCTTTTTTTAGATTCAGAAGGTGAGGAACTTGCGTGAAATACTTGCACAACAAAACGCTACACGGCAGAATTTAGGCCCCTTTGGTTTGATGTGTGCTCTGAAACTTGTCACTTTGGATAGTCTGAAGGGAATCTGAATGAAAACCGAATGTGTATGATCTACCAATCCAATAGACTTAATCTCACAACCAGTGAAAACCTTGAAAGAGCTGGCAGAGAACTAAAAGGGAAAGTTTTAAACAAATTTCCACACATGTGATGGCAAGCTGCCATTTGAAAGCAAACTAGAAGGCGAAATGCACATTTTAAATGAAATCTGCTTAAACTAAATGCAAAGTTTGATGAACAAACAAATTCGACAGTGCATTGCTATAGCTCTTCATTGTTAATAGTCTGTAGGAAAATGTTTCGCAAAAGATACCACCAATTCTTGTGTAAGCAATTTATGTGTAGTTTTTGAGAGCTATTCCATAAAATCTCTATATATGACTCACTTAACTTCATTGGCTTTGCTGTTCAGTCGTATTTTTTACATCACTGCAAAAAGGAATTAATACGTTATAAGCAGAGTATAGTCAATCGATAATGATCACTTCTTCGCGAATGGAAAAAAAAACTAAAAAGTTGAGAGGATGCAGCACTCTATAATACATTTCTAAATCACACGTTACATTCATTAAACAGTTTTGTGTTTTTTAAACCACACACGAATGTTGCATTAACAACGAATCGTAAGCTTTATACGGTATCTTTTTATAAAAAAATAAACAGTAATGTTTCGTTTAATCGCCAGAAATAGTTTATAAATTACACTTGCCTCCGACGCGCTTCATAGACTTCTACCAGATTACAGTAACCAGCAAACAATAAAAGCAAAGAGATCGCCTATCCAACAAGTTTAGAATTTTTTCAAAAATGCCAGTATTGAAAATGGTAGAACAAGCGCTTTTCCATTGCTTAGACAACCCCCTTCAAAAAAGAGGAATCTCAGTAATAAGTTATTATTTAAATATGTTAAACTTTCATGCTTTAAATGCTCATCTTTTGTGTTGTTTTAAGAGGTGGCAGAACGAGAAGAATCTTTTTTTTCACTTTTCTCAGTCTCGGATTTTTTCAGCAAATTTTGCAGACTTTTACTAAATTGTAATTTGATCCCTCTGACAGACTGCAACAGACATTCTTTTTTTCAAACTTTCATAAGCTGCCAGGGCTATGCAGTTCAAAAGAAGCTCAAAATTCATCACGCTTCTTTTAGTTTCTTGTACTTACGTGTCTGAAAGCTCCTTTTTCCAGGCTGCTTCTTGGATCTTTGTTTTCCCAATTGAATCTTTTTTTTTGTCTGGTTGCAGATGTTTCTTCAGTTTTCGCTTAGCCAAGAATCATGCGCTCTTTTTCTCAAGCTTCACTTTCTGAAAAGCGCTCAACAAGAAAACTTTTTTCTCCTTTCTGCACTAAACTAAACAGTATGCACCTAACTAGTCTCTTAAAAAGTGCCTACATACCTGTAAAAACTACAGTCTGTCTGAGAGAAAGTATTAATCTCGTGGTTGAGTGTTACTGTATTCAGTGTAAATTTAGTTGAGAAGAGGCAACTCCAGCTGCTCTCCGCTCCACGACTCCTCCCTTCGGATCGCACTCTCTTTCTCTTCCCTCTCCCTCTCTCTCTCCCGATCCCGCCGCCTCTTAGCAATCACAGCACTGCCTCGGAGATGGTTTGATCACTCCGCACTGGGATTTCTTGTGCCACTCTTTTAGCGCTGACTTCAGAGCCACAGAGGTGGTGGAGTACGAATTGGAGGTCTCGCTGGGGGGGAAAAATAGCAGTACACTTTCTTAGTGTACTTAAAAAGTAACCTCATCGGTTGGTGATAGCGCGGAGGGCTTGTGCTGCGTGTTATAATGTCTCTCCACGTTTTTGACAAGCTGGGAAATAAAATAACTGGAAGGGCGAAGATGCTAAAGGTGTAAAAAAGAGAACGGTTTACAAAGAAGCACGGGGAATGTATGATGAGAATCCATAACACGGACAAATGAGCTTCCAAATCTTCACAGCATTTGTAAGCGACAGAAATTTCAGGATAAGGAAAGCCACTTAATGTAAAGCAAAAAAAAACCCCAAAATGTGTAGCTGAATGCTAGTATTTTGAAATCTATTCAAAAGCCACAATTCAAGCAAAATATTCTGTGAGAATAATTTGACATTTAAGAAATACTTTAGTACCATGATAGCTACATTTTTTCACATTTCTATCCTTTCTGAATCATGAAGTCCCTCCATTATTGGCAAACTTCTCATGCGGCAGGTAAGGGTCACAGCAACCCGGAGCCTATTCAGGGAGTATAGGGAGCAAGACAGGACTGGATAGGATCTCCCACATCACAGGACAAAGACACGGGGACAGTTAAGACTCAGATTAAACTAGCCACCATGTCTATGGGAGGTGAAGGAAACCGGAGCACCAATAAGAAAACCAAAGGACCCCTTGAAGAGCATGCAAACTCCCCACATATGGACCTAGGATCATGCTGCCCCACTCCCTCAATGCTCGTTTTTATCTGGATAGTTTCAGATTATTTTCATGTGACCCGTCCATTTCTAACATTCATCCATTCTCTAACCTCTTTATCCAATAGTGTTGTGTGGGAGCCAGGGTCTTTCCCAGCAAGCAATAAGCACAAGGATGGACACCATTCCATCACACTGCATGCACAAATATACACACACACACTGACACTGTGGTCAATTTCCTCTGAAGCCAATTAACCTCCCAGTATGTCTTTGGACTGTGGCAGGAAACTGGAACACCTGGAGGAAACCCACATGAACACGGGGCAAACATAAAAACTCCATGCAGACAGCACCCCAAGTTCAGAATTGAACTCAGGGCCCCAGCACTGCAAGGCAGCAACACTAACCTCTGCACATGTTGATGCCTTGTTCCAGTTCACATTTATGTATTAGATGAAGAACAGTATAATATAACTTCATATCCACTAGAAAATAAATGTTACATAGTACCTCGTCAGAATATGTTCATGAAGAATTTTACTTTTGTAACAGAGAAGTATACATGCTCTTCTGTCAATATATTACAGTACTCACTGTCATTGGACATTCCCCACCTATTTCAAGAATATCCTAGTCAAGCAAATATGTCAGTTTCAAGCCAGTAAACTCAGTCTTCTCCATCTTAAATAATATTCTGGTCATTAAAATCCTCTAATGGAGTTTATTAAACTAAAGTTCGGGAGGGGTGACAACAACCACACTATCATCCCGAGCTGTCAGCAATTTGCAATCACTCCCTTAGTCCTTTCTCCACCGAACACTATTACTACTAAATGCGTTATCTCCCTCTCCCTTGCGTGCGACTTTTTCATCCCACCTCCACCCCAACTCCACCTCTGCAGCTGCCCCTTGGTCACCCTGCGTGGGGGTCCTAACCTCCTCGTCCTATGGCCAGGAGGTTGGCTTTAGCCAAGCGGGTTGAGTCAAATATTCACTCCACAATAGTTCGCCACGCTTTGATTTTGGGGCGTTGTCATTCCTCGTGAAATGTGCTAGAATACACATTAACAAAGTGAAATTAAATGTGTAACTGTCAAAATCTGAAATGTGAACAAATATGCCTTTGCATCACTCATTTCCTTTTAAATATTGCTTGGGTCTGTTGATACATTAGTCTTCTATTATTCACTATTTAGCCTGGTACGTTTCTCACAAACTGTGAATCTCAGGTCCTCTTTTTTTTTCCTCCTTGCCTTTGTACCTATCTTATATTTTCTTAAATCTAAGTCCTCTTTTTTATTCATTTTGTTTAAGAGCAATTTTAAGGGTTATGTATTATTTTGGAATTTAAGAAAGTTCCCCAACTAATGAAATTAAAGGGAAAAAATAAGAACTCATATAGAGAAGATGCAGTCTAGAAGGAAGTGTAAAAAGCTTTATAGCTTTTGTCAGATAATCTTTGCCTCCATGCAGTATCTTCCCCCATCTAGAATGAAGGATTAATACTATTTACTGATGCTTCAGGACTTTCCTCTGCCACTCTCTCTTTTGTCATTTGTTTCAATGGGAACATAAAGTCCACATACAGTATTTATCCCCCTTAACAAGCAGGCTTCCTCCACTGTCCAAGAAGATCAAAGCAGTAACAATGTGGGAAGTTGGGGCATTAGGAACTGACATGCAAGACATAAGAAGGGGCATACTGAAGGTGACATCATCCACCTCTACTTGAGTTCAGTCAAGTTCAGCTTGTCAATGGCTGTTACTACCTGGTATTTCCCAGAGATCAGTTTATCCCAATACGTACTCAGGCTAGCAAAGTCTCTTGACCCTCTGTTGCTGCAGTCTTGCTCAGAGAGTCCAAACTATTTCTCTGACAGGCTGTTGGGATAGATAGTGGGAATTTTTCATATTCATTCCACAGTCCTGTTTCACGCACACCGGCTTTAATGTTTCTGAAAAATGGGCCAGGGATTTCTCAATGTCCTGTCAAGAAGGAGCAAAAACATCTTGCATAGAATACAGTTCTAGTACTCTCCTGTGCATTTGTTTAAGAAGACCTCAAATTCTCTATCCCACCTGACTGCCATTCCAAAATGAAGACATTCATGAGAAATCAGTTGATACAAAGTGTCTACTTATACAGAAAATGTGTGTTTTTATATAAATTAGGAATTCCTTTTAAATTTAATAACGTTATTTTTATCTAATTATGAAATTATTTCAATTGAAATAATAAAGAATGTCACTAATGTGTGAGTTGTCCTTCCTCAACATCAAAATATTGGAATCAAGGGAGCAAATCCTATTTTTTAACACCAATAGCACTTTGAAAAGGGTTGCTGAACAGCAAATATGATTGGATTAAAAGAGAATTGAATCTGCAGTGAGATAATCTTCAAAATGTCATCTATTTCAAAGACTTAGAACTGGTTCTTGTCACAGCTTAAAATGTAAAGGCGCAAAAAACATGTGGGAATATTATATATTATATGTTGATCCATCAGTAAATCAATCTTACAAACAGCATCAAGCGTTACATTTCAGAGAGGAGAAAATATTAGGGATTAGCTTGTTAGCTCACAGAGCTTGTGTTCAACTGCAGAGATGGCATGCAGAGTGATACACAAAAATAAAAAGTTTATTTCTGCTCCTCAGAAAAAGGTGAAGGGTGAGGGTTTAAATCGCTTGGAATCCCAAATTTTCTTCTTTCTGTACTTACATTTTCTTGCAGGATGATTTTATGCTGTAAAAAATAATCACTGAAAGATACTGTATAAGCAGCATAATAACAGTAGTACTGGACCCTCAGATATGGATGTTGACAGTTACTAAACACTTTGTAGGACATAATGTAACATCTTTAGTGCTTCAGGGGACTGAACATTTAAAAACTACAAGACAAGAGTGAGTACTATGCAGATACATTTAGACACATGAATTATAGCAAAATCCCTACTGAATCTTTGTCTTTTCTTGAATATACTATATACTATCATTGAAAATTTATTAAAAACTAATGTATTCTTAAGTATGATTTTGTGCTGTTCGTTGCTTCAGTCACTTTAATTGATTGGTCCACTTTTGGCAGTTATCATGTTCAAACAGAAAATGTTTTGCAGTCTGTCACATGGTTCAAACATCAGTTCAAACAACAGTTAAGGTCCTGATCACTTTTATAGATCGGACTTCATTATGGACCCAAATGTTTTGTCCTCAGGAAGAATAAGGACAGAGGGCAGAGAAAGTTCCCTCTAGGAAAGGAATAGCTAGCGTTCTGTGGGAATGCTGTATTCAGTGAGGTGTCAGGTTTCAAAAACCAGATTTTCGAGAAATCAAAATAAAGTAAAGTGGTGAGGACCAGACTAAAGATTCAAGATAAATGTTCAGAATGAAACATGATACTCTATAAAAGTGCAAACATTAAAAAGATAGTATCAGATTCGTCCTCCCTGAGCATGAACACAATCCTGGCTGTGTTGAAGCATAGACCTGACCAGACTCTGAATAGACTGCTCTATGATGTTCTGCCACTCTTCCTGTGCAGCTGCAGCCAAATGGCAAAGTCTAGCCAGTCATGATTGTTTCCTGCTGGTGGCATTAACGGCTTCATCTCACAGATGTTCTGTTGGACGCAGGTCACGACAGAAAGCTGGCCAAGGCGTGACCTCAACTTTGTTTTCTTAAAGGTGTTCCGTTGTAATCCAAGCACTCCATGGTCACAGATTTCCTTATGGGAAAATGTACACCTAGAATGGGCCAGCGCAGATTAAAACACTGCTGGCTCAAGAACTTTGTCAATGTATTGCTGAGCTCTCTGTTTGCCCTCAATTTGCACCAGAGATGTTTTAATGCTAGAGGAGTTTTACCAGCTTCCTTGTCATTGCACTTACACCAGTCTAGTTCTTGGTAATGGGCAACAAAAAGCTTACTATGTCATTTACGCACAATTATCATCCTAAACGTTTGCATATCAGTGTCACAATGACCAATAATACACTTCACTGTTGCCTCTACTGCCATCCAAGATGTTTTGTAGCCCACAGAGGACACAGAAGTTCTAATCAATTTTCGATAACAATTATGCAGATGGTTGTCAGATGTGATGGAGTGGTGACCCTGTAGCCTCACACAAATG